GTTTATAGTGCACAAAGATTATGGCAGAAAGTCTTGAAAAGGCTGAAAAAGAAGAAAACTAGAGGCCAAGTAAGATGTACTTGTTAGCAAGAATAGAAACCATTCAACATAAGTTAATTACTTTCAACTGGGAAAAAGAAAGGATGCCAGGAAGACAAAGTAAGAGTACACAAGATCACATCAAACCCAGAGTTGACAAGTTCACAAAAGGTAAACTTGCTTAACGTGCTCTACCATCCTCCAGTTAGACACAGGGTTGCTGGAGGAAGTATTTATTCACATTCAAAAACCTAAGCGATCACAGGCTCCTATGTGCACTGTCCAAAGAAAGGTGCCCAGTGCGTAAGAGGGCAGCAGTCCTTGATGTTATCCACGCGATGCTGGTTTTATAGACATGCAGATGAAAAGATAGGAGTAGAGCCAGAAGGCTGGAGCGGATGGATTCCTGAGTGAATGTGTGTTACTGCCATGAGCATGTTGAGGGCCCTAGCTTCACACCAGAGGGAGATTGCAAAGACGTTGCCACTGCAGTCAGACTCAGAAGGAAATGACAAAGTCTTACTTAGGGTTCTTTGTATTGGTATTAGCTGTATATGTAGAAAATGTTCAGCATGTCTTTCTACCCCTAATATTTACAGTCCAAAGATTACTCTCGTACCGAGAATGTTCCTACCAAGATAACCTTAACTTGCCTCTTAAGTGTAGCTTTATACCATAAACCCTGCCTTCTTACTTATATGTAGCAACCCTGCTCCTGATTTAGTTGTGTGAAATAACCCATCCTCTACCTTCAACTCTCTTTGAAAATATGCTGAGTTCCCAAGGTGCTACAGTTTCTCCTAAGCCCCAGACTACCTGACCTCAAATATTTGTTCGTTTTTGTGTATGTCTGTCATTTCTTCATTCCCTTGTCGCCCCAGTCAGGTCCGTCTCTGTGAACGGTGGAAGGATGAAGTAGGAAGAATTACAATGTCATAAAGGAGTCCTCATAGATTTGAAAGAAAAGATGATATGCAAAAGAGGTGCAGATCAGGGTCACAATTGCCAAAAAGATTCCCTGAGGTGGTAGAGCCTGACACTTTGAGAGTGAGTTTAGAGATGGATGCCAGAAACATGGAATGTATCCTGAGGAAACCACACACGAAGCAGAAATCCTATGAAGGCTTCAGTGTGAAAGGCAAGCTGGCAAAGCCATAGTGATGACACAACTCAAGACCGTTGGCGTTCTCATCATGACACCATGCATCTTGGATGTCTTACATTTTGCACAGTGCTGAAAATCTTTGTGTTTTCCCTGTTAGATTTTCATCTTCTTTCTTCCCCCTTATCTGCCATCCTTGTTACTCCTTTTTATTTTATTTTAGAAATGGGATTTTTATTTTGCTATTTCTTATCTTGGAAGTACACACCCTTCTGTTTGGTATGGTTTAGAGGGTCATGGGTAAGAATTTGGCTTGTATCTCAGAAAAGACTTTCATTAATTTCATTAATTAGTTTCATTAATGGCTAAGATGATGCTGACTCTCAGAGATAGGCAATTCATTCTGTCTTATGAGGTAGGTAGAAGCCTTTAGAAGCCAGAGTAAAATGATAAAATGTGATTAAGCAATGACCCCTACACCTCTTGCTAATGTTAAAATCTTACACCCCAGTTTGTGAGGATTTTTAGGAAAGTGAGAGATAGTGTAAGCTGGTGCCAAAATGAAGGGAGTAGGTCCCTGTGGGCATGGTCTTGGGAGTGACAGCCTGTACCAGTCCCTTTTTCATCTCCCTCTGCTGCTTGACATCTATGTAAAAAAAATGAAAGCAGAGCTTTCTTATCAAAGATCTATCAGGCTCTTGGTGACAGTAATACAAAGTGACATACAATCCTGTACTGGGGAACAACAGGAGAAGATTGCAGGAGGTCTTGCTTGTGTGGACATGAGAGACACTAATGTCACATAAGATTCAGCTCTCATTCTCAGATTGTTATTGTGAACTTGGAAATAGTACTTCATTTAAAATGTTTGCTCGGAGATCTCAATGTCACTCTTCCCGTGTCTGGGGATAAGGAACAAGACTGAGAAAAATTGGTCAAGTGGCACGCGTAGAAATGGGAAATTAAGAAAGAAAGACCCCCCCAAAATAGAGTGAAGTAGGAAAAAAGGAAGTCATTGTAGTTTGTGAACCATAAGGTGATAGGGTTGAGGGTGAACAAGGTCATGGTGTAAAGTAGTATTTACAGAAGATCTGGCAGAAGTTTCTAGAGAATATATTGTTTCTGACTTCAAAGAGATATTATTTCTTACAAGGTTTTGTACAGTTTGCTTTTCTTATTGAGACAAGGGAAGTGCTTCCAGCTGCTTACGTAACAAAGAGGTCTTTTGACTGCACAGCTCAGATCTGTGGGAAATGAAATGCGTGGCTCCGTACTGAGATTCTGTATTCAAACAGCGACTTTCTTTCCAAGCATCCCGGTGATGCTGCTCTCTCCATCATGAAAACGATTGTGCTCAAGAGAGGAAGTCCCATCAATAAATCATATTGCATGAAAATCCCACAGTGTCTGGATGCAACGCCAACCTTTCTGTGGAACTCAAATAAAGTGGATCCAGGGAGAATTTTACAGCAATCCTCCCTTTTCAGATGTCATACTTCATCAACCTAAGATTTAACAAGAATTATAACCAATTTAAATTTAAAATACCAATGTCAGTATGCATGTATCCATGTACAAATTAAGAGATCATTGCCGAGTTTGCCTGGAAGACTTAACAGCCAAATGTCTTTTTCATCTATATGATGAACAGACCCAGTCATCAAATCTATTAAAGGCTACTTTCTTTACCTAGAGGAGGACATAAAATATGGATATGAATAAAACACCGCAACTTCATCTTGTAGTTACATGAAATATATGAAAGACCATTGTTGGTTATTTCCCGATGCATTAACATCTCTTAATAATTGAAATGTCGGCTATTAGTCATGGATCATCTAGATTTGCTTATTGGAATCTACATCTACTTTAACAAGGCTCTTGTTTGTAAAACAAATCTATTTCCACTCATCTTTGTGAAAAAGATTTAGTGAAGTAAGATAGTATTGGAAGTAATTCATGTGGAAGATGCTGATAGGTCCAGGGTCATTCGGCAAATACCAGCTATACATCCATCAAAAGCATCTGATCCCTTCCCTGGGCTGGTGGCTAGAGGGCTGCTACAGTTGGTTTCTATAGAGCACTGAAATCCTGAGCCGAGTTGCGTTTATTTATCAGAAAGAGATACAGTCTTATTGGTGTTTCAAAGGACCATTCCGATTATACTGATGAAATCTCAAGGGAAGGGATCAGAAGTACAAAAGCACTTTTGTGTATATAGTCCATTAATAGTGCTTTTAAAAAGTATTGTATAATAGATATAAATGGAGATTGTGAATCCAGACTGCTTGGGTTTGAACACATCTCTTACTGGCTACAAGCTATTTACTCAAAGTGGTAATTTTCCCATCATTATTTTGGGGATAATAAAAGCCCCTATCTCAAGCGTTATCATGAGAAAGAAATGAGTTAATATAAAGCCTAACAGACACATGGATACACATAGTGTAAGAATTTCCTATTAGTGAAATAGGGTGGATGGAATGGAGAGAAACTTAAAATTTGAATATATTGATTTCACCAAAGAGCTGCCAGACAGAGGAACAAGTAGGTTAAGCCAACTGGTAAAGGAAAATTAGGAAAATTATTTAATTTTATTAGCTGTATTTAATTGCTAGTTGACTGAGTGACAGAGATGAGGATATGCCTCTCTGGTGGCAGATCTCTGTATATCTGAGACAAACATGATCTTTTCTTCTTCTCACAGAGATTTGTTAACATTGGCACTATGGAAACACTAGCCTTGTGATATAAAGCACCATCAGCTTCAATTTTTTTTGTATGTGTGTGTGTCCATGTGTGTGTTGGCACATCTGTGTGAGCCAGTGAACGTGCTCATGTGTGCATGTGCCTGAAGCAGGCAGAAGTCATATGGGGGGGGGATTCCTTGTGGCAGCAGTGTACCTTATTAGTACACAGGGTTGCTCATTGAATCTGAGCTTGATGGTTAGATTAGACCATTTGATAAGTGAATCCCAGGATTGTTCCTGTCTCCACCTCCTCAGTGATGGTTTCTCTAATGCATGGCACTACAGCTGGCTTTTCAATGGGGGTTCTGTGGCTCACACTGTTGTCTGCTTGTAGGGCATGCATTTTATCAATTGAGCCATCTCCCAAGATAAAATAAAGCCTTTCAAGAAACCTGGTTTTCTTAGAAATAAACTTTTGTTGAGAGAGCATATTGTCTCCATAACTAGTATTTGTTTCTAAAATTAACAATAGATATGCTGAGGCGTGCCAATCCTAGACAAAACAAACAAACAGCTAATATCTGCCCAGAGAGAGAGAATTAGTATCTCTCAGGGATGAGCCCCTTAGTTGGTTACCCTATAAAAAGCTCTCAGTCCTGAAATCATATGTACACAAGCAACAAAAACCAGACTCAACAGGTTGTATTTATATATTTATGTATATGAAACATTAATAAGTGAAGAAAAAGTGCTCATAAATTTGAGAAGGAATGGGAAAGGGGGACATAGGAGGGGTTGAAAGAAGGAATGGGAAGGGGAAGGAGAAAGGGCATTTAATTACATTTTAATTAAAATAAAACTTAAAACCTCAATGACTTATACATTTAAAAACTTGTCCTAAACTACGTTTACCCATGTAAATCTTGTTAAATAACCTATTTATTTTCTTGTAGCCTTATTTGCTACTTCTCATCCTTTATAGTTTTTTTTTAATTCATCTAGTTGAATGCTAAATAAATAGGTTTCTATAAATTTTGATGAATCATTAGTATTAACTTCCTATTTCTTTTGACTGGTAATGATCTTGTACTTGGTATGAATACCGCATTTCAGGACTATCGTTATGTTACATGGAAATAACCCATCCTTTCTGTGCTTCCAATTTCCAGTCTGCTCCCAGTTCTCAAGAGGCGTCTACGCCATCTTCGGATTTTACGACAAGAAGTCCGTAAACACCATCACGTCCTTCTGTGGGACGCTCCACGTGTCCTTCATCACACCGAGCTTCCCGACAGATGGCACACATCCGTTTGTCATCCAGATGCGACCTGATCTCAAAGGGGCCCTCCTGAGCTTGATCGAGTACTACCAGTGGGACAAGTTTGCGTACCTCTACGACAGCGACAGAGGTAGGTAACAGGTGTCCCTTCCTAGTGGGTCTAACACAGCGTTTGCCCTTGGTATGGCTATGGGGTGCTCTGAAAGTAAATAATCGCTTAAGGATTTCTTGGTTTCATTTTCTGTAAACAAACCATGCAATATTAATGTATTTACATGCTTGATGTTAAACAAAACAAAACCAAACAAACAAAAATCCCAAAGCAAATACAGAATAAGACAACAGCAACAACAAACACAGTCACATAATCAAGAGAAAGAGATTGCCCAACTCAATGTTTAAGAGCAAAGTTGATAGGGTAGTCTGAGACAATCTAATGACTTAGTATTCAGTCCTAGCATAAAACAGCTTGCCATGTGAGCAGCAAAGATTCCAGAATGGATATGTTCCTCATCAGAGAAGTGGCTTAAAGGGAATTCACACAAGCACACAAATAGAAAGTTTTAGAGTATTTTATAGTGACTAAATCTTGTTCAATGTAAAAGATTTATCAGGCAGAAAGTAGCCTTGCTTTAAAATAAGGTCTCTGAAGTTCAGAGAAGTTGCAGGATGCTCGTGAGGTCATGATCTACCTGTGTGTAGGATAGTCCAGCACAGGCCTCCGGCATCCAACTCCAACTATCTTATATAATTCCACAGGTTTGTCTATGTGTTATATCAGTGTGCCGACTTGGGGATGGGGAATTCTTTATGTTTCTGTATTCTTTGCCGCGTTAGAAGGCCTGCTTTAGGAGTTTAGGAGCCAAGGTCTTCTTAATATTCACCATGCCTGTGATGAGCGTACATGAGTCTGTGCACACCTCACATTGTATGAAGTATTTTGTGTGGATGTTCATGTGTCTCTGTAGGCCACCCAGAAGCAAAGGCAAAAGGGTAAAGAGCTTTATAGAGACCTAGCTAGACTCCACGGTGCTTCCTTCCGCGGCTCACTTCTTGGAATACTTAAAGTTTCAAGTGAAATTCAGAAGCCTATTTTGACCAAGATGGAGCACCTCGTTGTGCTGAAAGGCAGACTGGAAGGGAGCCAGCGTCAGTCCATTCCCTACTGACCACTCAGGCTTGGCTGAGGCAGGGCTGCTCAAGCTAGGCATCTTGATTCGATCCTGTCCCCTTGAACCAAGGCACGACTGGTCTCTGTGTAAAAACCAGTCAGTACTCATAAAATATAATATAATATAATATAATATAATATAATATAATATAGTATATCATCTGTGTCAACAGCTTTATCCCCTGTTTTGAGAAGGAAGAATTGATGTCATGCATGTGAAGTACAGACAGAGTCATGATGATAATTGTGGATTTCAGAGTTCAGGGTGACTTTAATATGGATTTCCTGTGCATGTGAGAAAAATGATTTACAAAACCGAACTTATTGGTATTTAGCCTTCCCTGTTGCCCTCTGACCACTTTTTTAGGACTTAGCGTCCCTGGCACTCTTCCAGAAGTTGGGCATATTTGAAATGCATTTCTCACACTCACTTCATAGTGATGCTATTTCTGTCTATGTGTATTTCATCTTTAGACGCTTCTTTTCTGGACCTAAGCCCCCAGGTCAATGTACTACCACACATTCAACACCCCACGTCCTTAATGTCACACTGTTTTCTATGGGATTCATTTTCAACAAAGCAATCAGAATTATTTTAAATGTGTTTCCGTTGGCAGCATCAATCTCAATGGCTGCTTCATATTACAATCGGGATAACATTGGAATTCTCAGCCTGGCTTTCAGGCTTCATAATATTTGGGTCCTGCCCAGTTCCCCAGTGAGTTTTCCAGACTTGCTCATTCACTAAATCTAAATCCTAAATCTGACTGACCTTCCTTCACAATTCTGACATAGGCCAAACCATTTTCACCTCAAGTGACTGCATGGAGCTCAAATTTATAGAGGCTCTTGATGTCTGCTTTAATATACTGTTTCCTGAGGACATCTGTTATACTGGCATTTTCTTACAAAGCAATGTTTTATTTCCCCTCCTAGGATGTAAAACAATTTATAATTAATACCGTTTTTGATATATCACTCAAGAACTATTTATTGAGCTCCTACTACATTCCAAGGACAGATTTAGTCACCCAGAATAAGGTCTGTTTGTTACTTATGGCTTTACTGTTAGCTGCAAGAAAACTCTACCCAGGAGCATTCCTCACACTGGCTGTGAGATTCATAACTAGACATGCAGAGCTACAGGTAATGCGATATTCACTGAATGAGTTAAATGTTTTGGCTTCTTAAATTTAATCTGATAGTAGAAGGCAATCATGCTTGCTAAGTTGAAGGGGCAGAAGATTAAACAAATCTTACTTGTAGATGAGGCCAGAGGACAGATCAATGACTGTATTAATTTTAAATTGTTATGCATTTAAATTTAAATGCATGTTTAGCATTTAACATGTTAAATATGTTATGTTATATATGCATATAATAATATGCATTGTTATTCTAGAAAGGGGAATAAGACATTGCTTTGTAAGGAAATGCCAGTATGACAGGTTTAGGAGTGTACCTCACCCTTGCCTTCATTCTCTTATTCCCATTGGTTAATGAGCGAGAGCAGGTGTGTTTCTGACTCTTTTGCCTACTCTTGGAACTCTTTTCCTCCTATTACCTTGTCCAGCCTCCGTATGAGGGCTTTTGCCCTGTCTTACTCTGTCTTGTTTTGTCCTGTTCAGCTTTTGTCTCTCGAAGGCCTGCTCTTTTCTGAAAGGATATGGAGGGGGGGTAGATAGGCGAGAGGAGGTTGTGAGGATCTGGGAGGAGTGAAGAGAGGGAACACTGTGGTTCGTGGTCAGGATGTATTGTATGAAAGAAGAATCTATTTTCAGTGAAAAAAAGTGAGCCTCAAAAATATTCAAACAGACAACAGCATCAGCTGACATAGACAGAGGAGACTGGGAGAGAGATATTCATAAGTAAAAGAACGGACAGACTTTTATGCTTGCAAAGAGAATCTGGGGCGTTTTACAACAATTTTATTAATGCTTTCCAAATATTAAATAAAATTGGAAGGATGAGATAATCTCAAATTATTAAATTATACAAATTGAATCCAGTCAAGTGCATCTGTTGGCCAAAGAACATTAGTGTCATAATATTAAGTAATTATATATTAAACCCAGAGTGACCTTCCGGGCTCACTTTTGAGATATTATCAAGTAGCTGCTGATGTTTTAATGTGTTAAGTGTTACATGGCCTTCCATTTTCAACTGTTTCCAGGGATAAATATGTAAGACTCTCAAACACAGAAATGGCCTTGGCCTTTATGATATGTTTTATTTGGCTAAGGGAAATGGTATTATTGCTGACTACTTTATCTTATTAGTTACTTAATTTATGACATTGTATAATGTTCAAGTTATCCATATATTTGTTCTGTGAGCTGCTGTCTTTACTCTTACCCTATAACTTTCATGGGCTCCCTCCTCACTATAGTGTTACCTGCTGTAGAGAGCCTACCTGTGCTACCTTATTCTTATTAATCGGGCTTTTTAAAGAGATTCTATAATTTTCTCTATCAACTGACATCATTGGAGGCTCATTCAATATGGTCTCTCTACCTCCTTGATTACATGGATTTGTGCAGTGTTACGTTATGATGTTATATTATGTTATATTATGGTGTTACGTTAAGACGTTCAGCAAATAAAAGTGCCATTGAATAACGTGAGAACTAGACAGACATTCTCTCCCCAACAATATTCTCCCCAGAATTGTAAACCAGTAAAGAGACTTAGACATACTTCGCTTCATCAGGCTACCGTTAACTCATACTGTAATTCATTTAACCTTCTCAAACTCCATCCAAATGCCGAGGTTACATCCTGGCAGACACACGGGAAGCCTTGGGTGCTGTGAACGTCGTGCGGAATTATCTTCCACCAGTCTTGGTTTCCCAGTGACAGGAAATCAGATGCTGTGTCTCCCATTCCCGCTGACATTTCAGAATTGCTGGTGTCGTCTCTTTACCCAGCTACTTGGCAGCAGTCTGATACTCCTTGAGGACTCTGTGCCCTTCCTAAAATTCTTGTGCTATCAGTACATTGGGAGTGGCAAGGTGGAGCATCATAACACCTTTAACTAAGGGAATGGGCCAGCTCTGTCAACCCATAAGGTCTCATAATTTTGGTCTTTGGATGCAGGTGCAATATATTTGAATTTGAGTCCAGTGACATGTGATTTTGGTTCAATGTCAATGAAGGAAGATAATGTATTTCCCTGTCCAGTAAGTAAAAACAGAATCAATGACTCATTTCTATATTTATGTCTTGGTTTTAATATTGAACTAAGGCTGTTTATTCCTTTGACTCCAGGTCAAAGAAAGCATCTAACACAGAACTAAAATGCTTCCAAACTACAATTTTCCCCCGATGTCTTGAGAAAGCTGATGAGGCAAATACATGTTATTATAATCTGGTCTAGGCACAGTGCCATGAGTTAGTAAGCATGCGTATTAATTACACTGCCTAGAATGAGTGAGGTTGTAAATTTTTATGCAAATATAACAATTTTAAGAATGAAGACAGTTCTGAATGGAATATGCCCTTCAGCAGTTATCATTTTAAATTTCAGCCTTCATAAGCAAATGTAAGATATTTTAAGTTATTTTTTCTGAATTTTTCTTTCACTATTAAGGATAGTAGGTCTAAATAAAATTAACATTACTGCTAGTCATTTTTTAATTTTCGAAAAATGGTCAACTTATAATTAGGTCATGCATGCAAAGCCTCTTGCTAACAATGCTGAACAAGCTATTTCTTTCTAAATCCAAATGTTTAATAATTAAGTAGCAACTGGGAACTTAATTTTGGACTCATACTATAATCGGAATGTTTCAAGGTTACATTTAAAATGATGAAAAGGGACAGTTGCTTTTTCAATTTTCCTTCCGATTTTACAAAGGTGTTTATCTCAATACCTTTCTTTTTGTTAATTATTCGGAAATAAGAAGTGAGCAAGATGGCATGATGCAGTGGCATACGTACCTGGGCTGCGGGGATCGTGCTCACTGACAGCTCTCCGTGAATCAGTGTTTATGGAGAGCTTCTGATTCCCACGCACATTTCTATCTCAAGTAAGGGATTCATGCTCTGATGAAGAAATCTCCGTGCCATTTCATATGGGAAGGGGGAAATCTCAATTTGCCTTTTCTCCTAATTCCATCGTAGGGCCAAGAGCACAGCAGTGTGGACGTGGGCTGTGGGAGAAGAATTTAGTTACATCTTCAGAGCCAGAACACACATTTTTAGTGGTGTGTAATTTAAAAAGCATTGCCTGCCCTCTTTTATATACCATCCCTATATTCTGTGATATGGTAAACTGCCAATAAATTTTAGGCTTAAATTTATCACGATGAAATCTACTTAGACATTTATAAGTGAATTTATATGTAAATTTTCTTATATTATCTGTCAAAGACCAGACAATGCCAAATATATTAACGCTTGAAGTTTTTGGTATGAAAATTTCATTATGTAATGAAATGCAATAAAATATCTTATTGCATAGAGTCAAGGAGGCTCCTGAGGATTATTCTATGAGAAAACAGAGAGAGCATGACCCTTATTTGAAGTCCTGTTTTGAAGTGACTGGAGGCCATGTCTGGGAAGATAGAAAAGACAATGGTCTTCAAACAGCTGGTGATTGTTGAATTGCTGAGGGGATGAGTTGTATGTGCTCTGCCCTTATTGGTGATGAGAAGCAGACAAGGTACTTACCTGAATTATAACTTGGGAGGATTGAATTTGCCCAGAGTAAACAGCCTTCACAGGTTCTTTGCGGTGGATTCTAAGATTTTATCACTGAAGATTGTGTAAGTGGAGGGAGATCTTTGTCACCCTTTGAGAAATTCATGTTTATCTCTACCTTCTGTTGTAACAGCAGACAAGAGGCTGTTTTGGTTAATCTTCCCCAGACTGCTCTGATTTACACTCTTATGTACTTTCTATTAACAAATTACTTTTAATCTTTATTATAAACTATATCAGAAAAATGGCCAAGCCTTTGTTTTGAAACTAGTTCTAAAGTTCATGGTTCTACGGCTTCATCCTTAACAGACCTAAGATTACAGAGGTTACAGATTGTCAAGAATTTTTAGCTTCTCTCACAATAACTATTACATAAAGATTTTTGTTATTTTATCTGGCATTTCGTTGCCTCTCTGAAATTCTTTATAAACAAATACTAGTCATCATCTGATTTTTATTTGAGAGTACATAACACTTTAAAAATATGCAATTCTCTTATTTTATATATAGCCTACCTATCTGTCTATCTATCCATCATCTATCTATCTATCTGTCTATCTATCCATCATCTATGTTTCTATCTATCTATCCATCCATCTATCCATCACCTATCTATCTACCTATCTCACTGTCACACTTAGTGAAGATCCATTAACACCATTGTTTGTTTACATTGTTTACATTGTTACATTTGTTTACATTGCAGGGTAAAGATGAGCTCTATGTATCATGGTTGCTTGATATATTTTTGGTAGAGTTGTTACTATGGAATCTACTTCCCATTCTGGATTTTGATGATCTAAACATCTTGGGGCTCAATATAGTCATATATTCCCTGGAAATTGATAGTGTGATAAGATTCAGTACTGCATATACAACTGTGTCATGGGTGGTACAGAATAGCTGCCAGTCATTGCCTTGACTCCTTAACTTCGGTGGATGTCACACAGCGTTGATTCTGAACTGATGTTTGGTCATGCATATCAGCTGGAAGATGGCTAAAAGAAAAAGAAACTTGATTTTATCCCCACCTTGAGTATATTCCACACAGGAAAAGCAGGGAAATGCTTCTGCAATCCCACGGTTCTTGCTAGTTTATATTTTCAAAATAGTTGATTGGTTCTAACCCACTTAAAGCAAACAAATATTCTTAATACTTATTATAATTATGATTTCATGGATTTAATTCAAATTAACACTAGGTACTTGAGTTTATTTCCATTATGATTTTGACTGATGCTGCGTTTTCCCCATCTTTATTGAAAAAGCTGCAAATGGCAGCTTCACTGCTTGGCATATACACTCTTTGGGAAATTTGTTTGTTTGCCAATATCAAAAAATACGCTAAATTATTTTGTCTGCTTATGACTAACACTAAATCCATAGGACTGTCAATGACATTTTACAGCTTGAGATATTGGTGGACAAAACAGGCAGCTGTTACTTCCTGGCCATTGGAAATTTGGTGTCTGAACTTAGATTGTAAACAGATCTGCTCACACCAGGTGAATCACACACCATATAGAGAAAAACAGGTCAGGGTACTTTTTGAAGTGTACAGATCAGATGATTCTGGAATGAGATGTTATATAGACTGACTTCTCTATGGGGCCTTGAGATCGTGTTTCCATGAGGTTACTCTTCTATGTGATGAACTTTTCTTCCATAGGACAGCAGAAAGAATACAGAAGGTAAGGACATCTGCTTTTTGGTGGTACTAAACCATAGATTTAGCTCTTTAAGAAACAACTGACCCTGGTTGTTAATCTTAAAGTTTTAAACATGCCGCAGTTATTATATAATTAAGTACCACACCGGCCACTTGTTGAAATAATGCCACACCATAACAAAAGTTACTAACAAATAGAAAAATGGTCTTATATTTAGGTAATGAGATAAATCCATACTAAAGAAATTGCTGCCACCATCTGGTTAATAGATAAGTGATTTGATATCCATGAGATCAATCCCAACAACAAAAATATAACAGAAGGCTGCAGAAGAAGATAAAAAGCCCTCGCTCTACTACCGGCTGGAGACAGCAAAGGCTAAGATGTCTCTTAGCGGTCACTGGCTGTGATATTCAGCTGCTTAAGGAGTCTCTGTGAACATGTACTAAACAAACTCCATCAGGGTTAACTAGTACAAAATGGTGGACTATCACTTAGAGCTAAAACCATTTCACCTTCTATAAAGTGGGATATGCTTGGAAATTTTTTTAAAATTTTACTTAATTTGGAGATATTGAAGATCTTGTCTGTCAGCACATCTCAAATAAGCAGGTCTCAGAGTTACAAAGAATGTGATCCATATTTCCTTTGACAGTATATTTTTGCTTTTTTTTTTTTAGCCTGGCACAAACATAAACAGAAATTGATAAAAATCATAGCTTCTGTCAGAATCGGCCTCCCTATCACCGAACAAACACATTAAACTCAAGGGCATGAATCTGGCCATGTCTCACTCCGGCTCTGAGATCCTCTAGTTTTTTTCATCAGTCTTCCTTGCCCATTGTCTTCCCAGGTTTGTCAACACTGCAAGCTGTGCTGGATTCTGCTGCAGAGAAGAAATGGCAGGTGACTGCTATCAATGTGGGGAACATTAATAACGACAAGAAAGATGAGACCTACCGATCGCTCTTTCAAGATCTGGAGTTAAAAAAAGAACGGCGTGTAATCCTTGACTGTGAAAGGGATAAAGTGAATGACATTGTGGACCAGGTTTGTTCCTCTCTGTTTTCTGCCAAATATAGATTATGCCTGCAGCATCAGCATTGGCAAGAATCATTCTGCAAGATGCTTGAACTGCAGTTTTCAGTTTATAGTTCATGGACAACGCAGCAAAGATCATCAATTGAATTAGCCCTAGCTTCAGCAAGCAATGGCAGATGGCTGTCAATAATGCTGACCGATTGGTTTTATCACTTGAACGTCAATGTATATAATATCAAGTTTTCATATTTTACATAAGCTTTGTCCTAAACCTACATGCTTTTCTTAGTTGAAAACTTTAGACTTAATTCTGATTAAATTAGGTCAAAACAAATGTGATGTCTTAAGGCAAGTGTGAATTGGTTTGGAATTTATACATGGTTATTTCAATACAATGTGGAAAGCATATGCTACTTTATACCTATGTGTCTTCGTCACTATTTATTGCTATGAAGAGACTCTATGGCCTGTTAACTCTAACAAGAGAGTGCATTTAATTACACTTTCATAAGCTTTGTCCATTACCATCATGCATGGTAGCAGGTATGGCAGGCACGATCCTGGAAAACTGCATCCTTCCATGCAGGCACAGAGAGGGAGGTAGGGTTGGGCATGGGCTTTTGAAAACTCAAAGTCCACGTCCAGTGACACACTTTGTCCAACAAGGCCGTGACTCCTACTTCTATTTCTATCAAATAGTTCCACTCCTTGGTGACTAGATATTCAAATACATGGATCTATGGGGGCTATTCTTCTTCACACCACCGCAGTCTACTACAGCTTAAGAAAGAGGAGGCATTTGTTGTAAGAAGCATGTTTTGATGCTACATGCATATCGGAAAATTTGTGTACACTTAAAATTGTAATCTACAAAATTAAAATATGAAGGAAGGAAACACAATCAGATCACGTGCATGACGTAGGAAATCAACAGTATTCATTTGGGTGTTAGAAAGAATAATTATATCAGACATGCAAGTGCTTTTGTCTGCTCTTATCTTACTGACTTCCTTTAGATAAGACCTTTCATGATAAGACAACCATGAAGTGGTAACAAAGTAAGAAACTAAACCCTCAGTGCTTTAAGGCAGAGAAACTGATCAAAACCTGCTTCATGATTTGCTTAGTAAGGCATCCTTCACTAGTCCTAACTAGTGTGTGTATGTATATGTGGGAGAGAGGGAGGGGGAGGAAGGGGAGGGGGACTGCAGCTGCTTCTTCCTTGAAAGTTTATAAGATTGGAAAGAAAGTATACAGCTGTGTATGCATTTATACTCTTTCTAACTTTTGAGATAAAAACCAAAATCCACTAATGTAACCAGGATAACAATTCTAAAAACAAGGGTTTAGAAACCTTAATTAATTTATAATATAGGTCTTAAGAAATAACAATGGAGTATCTTAGTAAAGAATTAAATAACTAAATCAAACTAATATGACCTGTAAGAGACTCAGTTGTATACAAGGAAGGAGAACAATTTCAACTTAAAAATCTTGATTTTGGTCTCAGGCGATGAACTTAGGATTGCTGTTACTGTAGGCATCTTGCTGAAATGCACACATCAAAATCACATTTGAACCTCATAGGAAGTTTTCATTAAAACTGAATTTTAATATTCACTAGTCTGGTTTAAAAATTTAAATATTCCTGCATCTTCCTATTAAGCAAAGACGAAAGCCTTTATAAAACTGTGTCTTTCAAAACCATGAATAGGAAAATTGCACAGCAAACTGGGACCATAAAAAGTAACACTTGAAGCAAAGTCTTTAATCATAGTTGTGTAAGTCTACGTGGGGTCGGTCACTTAGAAAGCATTGTTTTACATTTACGTGTGATAAATAAATACCTCTACTAATACACTAAGTGAGTGTTCAAATGGATGGCAAATGGCTTCATCAGCATTTATTGTCTACATGAGGGATGCAAAGAGTGATAAGAAAGGCCGCTGTAACATGAGGGCCGGCTTGTTGGGGTATCTGTTCCCGCCCAGTACCCCACAGCTGGCAACTCCCAAGGAAAATCACCCACAGGACTCCTTAAGGTTATAAACTGATTGGCCCATTAGGTCAGGCTTCTTGTTAACTCTTATAACTTATGTTACCCCATTATCCTTATCTACATTAGCCACATGGGCTCCGTACCTTTCTCAGTGTGACAGCTTACATGTTGCCTCTTCGGTGGTCTGCGCAGGAGAGGCTGAGGAAGTTTCCTCCTCCCTAGCCTTTTCCTATTCTCATTGCCCTGCCTCCACTTCCTGTCTGGTTGACCCACCTATACTTCCTGCCTGGCCAATCAGTGTTTTATTAAAATACATGATTGACAGAATACAGACAATTCTCCCACACTAGGTCGCGATTTGAGTCTTTATAGGGGAAGAAAACGAACATAGATACAGCATTACAAGCTATAGCATATAAAGCTGTGTCACTCAACATTCTGCTACTACGAGTGATAGGGTAAACCAAATTATAAAGCAGAAATGTTTGTCTGGATTCATTGTATTATAGGTCTCATGCACAGCCAGCGGCCTGTAATTTTCTTGCTAGTAGAAAGACAACATCTAATGACAGCTGTACATGTTGGAGGAAACTGCTCACCTGAGTGTAGCTGGAAAGCATTAGAGAGACGAATAGAGATAGAGGTATCTCAACCTCTCAAGGGTATTCCTCTAATGTCCTAAATTCCTTACACTATATCCTATTTCATAAAGCTTGCACCACCTTCGAATAGCACCAAACTGAGATCCAAGCCTTTAACACACGGGCTATGGGTTGATCAGATCAGATCTAAACTATGCAAGTAATCTATAATGGATGAATGAGGATCTACCCATCTTTCGAGAGGAATGAGTTATACAAATTAAATGAAAAAGGTAGTATTTGGCTACCTTTGCATTTCTTATTTTTTGTACAAACCTTCCAAATCTTTAATGGTTTATTTGCAACAGAAACAGTATAACTAAAGAAGCATCGTTAAATAAGACAGGGCAAGTCTCATCAAAGAAAGTCAATGCTGTAGGGACATCATCATAACAAGCACCATGACTGAAAAGAACAAATTATTCTCAGAGACAATGACTGAAAGCAACAGTTTAGATTAGGTTAGGCTGTCCTTCGTGGAGCAGAATCCACCAGGTACAAGGTGTCCATAGGGCACAGTCTAAGAAAAAGAGAACTCTATTATTTCACTCAGCTAGTATTTGCAAGAGAATGGCGATGGGACAAAACACTTTATCTTCATGGCATCTGAAAATTAGCATCAGAATTAGCCTGCATTAGATTAGGACTATTTTAACATTATTTGATCAAACCCCAAAGACACTTATTTCTAGCTGTGCTCAGATTAAAAAACGTGTTCTGCTATCAAAACACTTAGGAATTAGCATAAATTTTCTGTTGTATAATACTAATTGCTAGTTTAAAGTAAAATTATAATGGTGCCTATGGCCAGCACTAACATCTATAAAGACTATAACCTAGAGAATTTCATCTTTTCTTTTTCTCAGTAAACAGAAGTAGGGACAATTGCTATTGTTTGTAGTGTTCATTTTAATGCCCAGATGGACAACAGGGACATTCACATGACAGCCTGCTCAATAGGCAGAATCAACAGATGTTCTTAAGATATTTGTGGACACAATGCTTGTTGATTAAGCTGAGAAGAATTAGAATATTTTTCACTTTAAAAGGACATCTTTTCTTCAAGCTTCTGACTTCAAAGTGGAGGATCTGATTTCTGGGAAAAGGCAATTTAGTTGTGTGATGTAGAAATGGATCAGAAGTCTACAGAAACCCTAAATTCCTTTCAAACAGCTGCCACACAATTTCAGCATGGTATTCTGTAAAACATTTTCTGGAAATTCTGCCCTTGCTCTTGGACCAAATGTGTTGATACAATCACCTGACAATGCCTTAGGTGCTGGACGATCGTGGAAATCTTCAGCCAGGGGGTGACCACTAGGTTGAGATTGGTTACAACATGCATGTTAATAGTACATTCATGTGGCAATGTGGAGGAATTTCCAAGTGAGGAGACAGAACGTCCTGAGGGACTTTAAAGAAGTATATTATTATGCAAAACAGTTAAGAAAACCCACGTGGTCTGAGTGTAGAGGGAGGGAAGGGCAACCCTGGAGGAGCTAGCAAGGCAGGGTCACTGTTAGTGTTAGTATTTTGTTTAATGATAAGGGGAGCTGGAGAGTCAGAACAGTGAACTAATGCTTTGCACATTTCTTTTTAGCTTGCGGTTTCATGTTTTCATTGGGCTCGATTATTGTCTTTAAATGTGGAAAGGATGACGGTGCACACATGGAGTCCCAGCACTCTGAGGCTGAGGCAGAAGGGTCCCTGAGGGCTTGAGGCCAGGATGGCCATTATGCTGAGTTCAAATAGAGACTGGGGTGCACAGTGGGACCTGTTCTAAAGTAACAAATGCAAACAATGTAAAGAAGTTATTTTGAATTGAAATGACCCTAGACTTACATGGCTCATCTTAAGGTTTTTCAATTTTATAATCCATTAGAAAGTATATAAATTTACAGAAGTTGTCCATTTGAACATTTCCCCCCTGTGGTACCAAATGCAGTATGGTACTTTCTGGGAATGATAGGCAGTGGGCATATGTCACCACCTCCCCCCATATATTCCAATCATAAAAGAAAGCCATACTTCATTGAACTTTGCCTTGGGAGCTGTGAAGGCTTGTGGGTTAAGAGAATTAAATGCATTTCTCACCTATTTTCACTTTAGGTGGGTTTATCACTGGGTACATCTCTGTACTGTACTACATTAAGGTGATTCACCTGTACCTATTCAGTAATATAGGTCCGTGAGAGGAAATATGACTCAATGTTGTCCAAAAGTGCTATGATCATTGTTAGAGTAATCTCTTATCCCAAAAAAGTAAGTTTACCTTGCTTGACTCAGGTTTATAAGGAGAAATTAGCTGCTTGGCTATGTGGTTGCCTAAAGCTGAAAGTAATCTTCATTTGAATTAAGATATAAGTGTATCAAGAATAATATTATAATTGCTTGTTAGTGCCCCTAATTTTTCTATAAACTCAATTCATGCCTATTGTACATAGATGTATAGCTATGGCATTTTAGATGTCTATTTTAGGTGCTTGTTTACTGGGAAGTCAAAGATATACAATGATAGAAATAAAATTATGACTTGTTATGGAGTAAACATATTTGAATCTATATTTCCCCACAAAAATATGTAGGTATTTTCCACTATTGGAAAAATGAGAGTTATTTTGATTTAGTGGTTGATTTTTAATAGATAATGTTTACTAGGTACTAAAATGAATTATTACCTTTTCCTGAGAAGCATTTTGTTTATTTAATAAAAAAAAGTTTTACTAAACATGACTAGTGGAACATAGAACCCCAAACTCCATCTCTTGCTGTTCAGATCATCTTATTCGTAATATTGTATACTGTTCTTTGCACATATTAAATGTGTGTGTTTATCTTTTCTAGGTTATTACCATTGGAAAACACGTTAAAGGATACCATTATATCATTGCAAATCTGGTAGGTAAATTAATTGGCATTATTTTACTACCTATTAAGGTTTTATTAAGATTTACTTATCTATATTTTATGAAAATGAGTGTTTGTCTGCATGTATGTCTGTGCACCATGTGCAAGCAGTACCTATAGATTTGAGGGCATAGGATTCCCTAGAACTGGAGCTACAGATAGCTAGGAGCCACCATGTTGAGTGCTGGGAACTTAATCCTCATCTGTGAAAAATTAATGAGTGTTTGTAATATAGAGATATCTCCCTAGCACACTTACATAATCTTTTTAATTGAATGCATTAGTTTGGAATGATCATCATTCATAAGAGTATTTAAATATATAGTCTGATTATTATTTTATAGATGAGAAATTAATTATTTTATTTTGTTGCTTTAGGTTTGCTTCTCAATCTACAACTTATATTAGTTCCAGTTTTCAGTTGTGATAAAAATATCTTCACAACAATATTTGCTCAAAAATTATCTTGAAAATTCTATATAGGAAACATCTAAAAAATATAAAGTTTAACTCTCTAATTATCCATTTTTCTGTCATGTTTTATAAACTTATTGTGTGCATTCTCACTTGAATTTTTAGTATATAATTTCTGAAATTGATAGTTATAAGGAAATTAAGCTTAGAAATATGATAATATAATGTCAATAAAATTATCAATTATATATTGTACAACATGTAACATTAATGCCTTGAAAGTATTTTATTTATGATTTTCTACATAGTGTATAAGTATCACAATGAAATGGAAACTGAGTTCTTAAAAGAGATGACCATGTTTACATTAGTGTCTTGTCAATTCAGTATATATTGGAAAGCAGATTGGGCTCATTATATTTCTTTGTAATTTTTCTTTCTATATTATAGCAAATCCATTTAGATTATCAGACAATTGTTTTTATTTCCAAAATTGACTTTTAAAGAGTAACAAAACAGTCGTTGCTTTTTCTTCATGGTCTTTGAGTAGTCTTTGACCCTGTTTGTTGGAAAAGACCTCTGCATCACCTCATGCACAAACTCAGAAAACCATGGTGAACGGAAGGGAAGGAGGTGGCAAACACAAGAGTGTTCGAGATCATGTCATAGATAGGACCACACAAGGGCTTCTTATTTATGCAAATATAAGCTTCATTTGGGATTTAAGAGTATCTATCAGAAAACATCCCTGATATGACAGAGAGACACAAAAACAGAACAAAACTTGCAATAAATAGTGTTTTCATTGAAAAAAGTCATGTCAGTATCAGTGAGTGGCCTGAGACTGGAAAAAGTTGGCTGTTCAAGTGAAATCTCTCTTCTAGTGGTGTGATTCCTAGCTGCTATGACCATGCTCTGGACTCTTCTCTTACTGTGTACCAAGGAGGTTGGAAAAGACTGTTGTAGACACAAGGGTTAACAGGAAACGAGGTTCTGCAATGACTCTGCTGAGCTGCGTTCCAGGCCCAGAACAGCCTGCACACTAAGTCCCCTGTGTGAATTGTGCCATTTGGTGAACAGCACAGAGCCACAGTGAAAGCTGAGATCTTTGGAAATGTCCAGATGGAGAAGATTACATGGGAACATTGAGAAATAATGACAGAAGGTGTCTCATCAATTTGAGAGTTGACGTGCAATGCCATGACAAAGGAGGGACTGTCTAAGTGAGCGAGTCCACGCTCTTGTCGTGGTTCTATTTGGGAACCCTTAAGTTCATGCTGACGCCAAATGCGGCTCTGCTCTGCCTTCCCCAAAGCCTCGAGTCCTCTCCTCACAAACCTCTGGCAGTTCAGTTAGTGCAGAAGTCCTGATTTTGACGCTAGTTCTGAGAACTTCGACATTAAAACCTGAAAAATGCCTCCTGCTGTTGCAGGGTTTTCATCTTCCAAGTTCTCAACAGAAAAGCTAATGCTTTCCCTCTGACTAGTGCCTTATCCATGTCAGAGGAGATGACCGGAAAAGAGCCTTGAAAACGCTCACATACGGATTAATTCATTTAAGAATTGCTAAATAGTGGTCTTGGTCCTTCAGATTCAGTCTACGGCTAAATTGTTGCAGCATTTGAATGAACATCTGGCCCATAATACCATGAGACTTGGTCCCAGGATCTTGTGCCCCTCTTCTTACCTCTGCCGTTCACATGGATTTAACTTATGAATAATCATTTAGGAAGTTTAGGTTCCACGATGCTAGAGGTGTTAAAGGTGAACTAACAGCTCAGATTTTAGTGATTAGTGATGAATCAGTTGGCTTAATCTTGTGCATACATCTCCCTAAGCAATATGACGCCTTTGGTGATTTGTTGCCAACTGGGTTGTCAGGTGTCAGGTGTTGATCTCTCTGCTCTCTTTCTGTTTTTGACTTCCCCTCTTCCATCTCCTACGCCGCCTCCTCTTCTTCTTGCTTTTCATCTCCTCTCTCCTCCTCATGTTTCTCCTCTTGTTTTATAAATAGGAACTTCGCAGAGGAATAAAGTAAGAATGATTTGGAAAATGCAGATTCTTATTTTGGGCAGCATCAAACCTTATCAAAGATTTCCATTGAAAGTGTTGCGTAATCACAGCAAAATGACAACAAATGATTAAAATTATATTAAACCCAAAGAAAGAAAAAAAATGAGAACAAGAATGCTAGGAAGACAAGAAGTTGAGGCTTTATCTTAGGGCACCAAAGAGACGAGGCATGAGGCAGGGCAAAGAGAGGAATATACACATGACGGGGAAAGCAGACAGGTAGCTCCTGTTCTCGCTACCCACTCCCTCTTCCTCCTCCATCCCTAGAGGCAGAGCCTGGCATGGGCTCCATGCACACATTACTGAGAATGTGATGCTAGCAACAACCTGTGAGAGACCAATAGAACACACAGGAAGAAAGTATAAGAAAGAATGGGCTTCCATTGATATTTGGGTTCAATCTGATTGTCTGGGGCTCTGTGTTACAGAAAACTGCACTACTTCCCTCCAACATAAGAGAAGACAGAGGAAATTTTTGAACCCAGAGCCCAAATACTTTTGTCACTGAGCTAGGACTATGATGGCACAGCTTCTATTGTCTCAGGGAAATTTTGCCAACAAAAGTTATGGACAAAAATCATTGTCTAGAACAGGGGAACGCTTATGGACCAAGCATCAGCTAAACATCTCAGATGAGTCCCAGGACACCTAGGTACATCAAAGAGAGAATTCAGTACAATAGCCTTGACTCAAAGTCCTTTGAAAGGAATAAACGGACACCCAAGTACTCTCTCCACACACTCCTAACAAAGGGAACCAGCAAGCACAAACTTTACTTCTAGTTCATATGACTTTTCAGAAAACTCTGCAGATGTTAGAAAACAACTAACAGAACGCCTAAGTCCTCTCACGGATCTCTGAGCTCTCTCTCCAGCCACACATCACTTTAATCCCAGAATTTAGCCACGCAATACACTGCACCCAGTTGCATAGAAGACTGGAAGTTTCCAAGCGGTAGAGAAGAAAGAAACAAATCTAAGGGGCAAAGGCCCGTGACCACGCCCCCTGCCCACGTGCCTTACAGCTCAGCAAAAAGATGAGCCTCACGTGGACCCTAGAAACCCAGGGTCCATTTAGCACCATTTCCGTAGGAACACAATTGTGGACTGACATGAAGCAATCACTCTTTGCCCAGATACAAAGTATAATAATTTGTATTTTAAATACTAACAGCAAATAAAAGATCCGCGCTTCATTCAGGATCTATTTCATCATTGTGTATGGTGAAATGAATACATTTAAAATGTGAATACGTTTATAACAGCCACATGGAAATCTTGTTTCTATTTGTTTGATTTAAAAATCAAAAGAAAACTCAGTTAAGTTCACCATAGCCCATGATTTGGACTAACATGGTTACATGGTTGTGTGGGTTTGTGCTCATTAGTGCAATGCCTGTACTTGTCAGAAGGGGGCATCAGAGAAGTTGTTGGACGAGGTGACCTACCCAGTGAGACTATTGGGAGGAAACTTGGGGCTAACAGCTGAACCCATGCCCTTAATCACTTAAACTTCTCTCTAGAGCTGTAACTATTGGATCAAATTCAATTATTATATTCAATTGTTTCAAGTTTATTGTGAGATTGCATTTCTATTAAATAACTAAGAATGATTGTTTCTTCCTCCTCAATTTAAAGATATTTTTATCAGATGAGTGAATGAGTGGTTTAACTGAGGATAGTTTGATCGATATCTTCCATTGAAAGCACATGACTCTACTCCACAATAAACTCATTGAAGGAGATCAGTCCTTACCAGACACATGGGGGCTGTCTCAGTAAAAGAATACTTCGTTGCGACTATTTCTGTGAGGTTTGCATGAGACGATCAGTCATTAAACATATCGATTAGGGACTCACCATGATGTCTATATGAATGAGGTGTGGTGAGAAGCATTGGCTGTTAAGTTTGTGGAACCTGTTACATAGGCATTTTATCTTCCCTGTGTGTGTTGAACTTGTAAAGAGACACTCTGTAGAGACACAAGAGAGGTTAACTCGCAGAGGAATAACACAGGTGTGTTTTATATCTAGGGATTTACTGATGGAGACCTGCTGAAAATTCAGTTTGGAGGTGCAAATGTCTCTGGATTTCAGATCGTGGACTACGATGACTCCCTGGTGTCTAAGTTTATAGAAAGGTGGTCAACACTGGAAGAGAAAGAATATCCTGGAGCACACACAGCGACAATTAAGGTTTGCATTAAGGGAAAGAACATGCTTAGAACATACTGGAAGGGATAGTATGCAGTCCATGGGATAATGAGCACATAGACTGATGGATGCATTTTCAATATTTAGTTTGTTTACATAAGAAACATGGTGTGTTACTATAGTGTTCTTCTGCATCTCCACAATGTTTTCATTCACTTACCTGTCCATTGGAATTTTTATATTGTGTGGAATCTCAACTTGGGACTTGGATGGCAAGTCAAAGGACAGATTTCTGCCTACATTCACATTACCATGAGGAAAGGTAATAAAAAGATCACAATTTGGGAAGGAACAGACAGCTATGGAACATATGGCAGGCAAAAACCATAAATTACATGTCCTGGGAAGCCTTGTGTGATGAATCAGTTTTTAAAATTAAGACCCAAAGAGAAAAAAGACTCTGGCTGTCACATACAATATTTTGTCTTCAAATAAATTAAAGAAAGAATAATAGATATGAACTCTTTCAATCTTCAATCATCTCCCTTGTATACAGTTTAGATAACAAGCATATGATCACACATAAAATGCCTACATGTGGTATATAAATGTGTGGTATGTATAAAATAATTGCTCATCAGTGACATGTGCAAGTCAGAAAGCTTATTGAAGCATGATTACTTTAGTAATGGAAACATCAACATGGTATCTACGCAATCAGGCAGAATCCTCGAACGCTGTCTGAAATGCCTCACTGTGAAGTCCTGCGTGCCTTTGAGCACTGAGTGCTTCCTCTGTATAGTGTGTAGACATGCATGTACATTGGTACTACCTAAATCGGGTATTTAGTCTTTGTTGCTAATTTTATTGAGAGTAGAATTAAGATTCAGACTTGGTTAAGGCAATAATTTTATACTGATGTCAAATGATTTGGGGTTCACATAATGGTCTTTTTTATGGAATTGGAAATGCGTTAAATTAAGGAGAAAAGTTGATATATATTTATGTATATACATATATAGCTTAAAACTTCATAGTGCTTTGTGTGTTGTGAAATATATATGAAGTTATCAGGAACTAGATGATCATGCATTGTTAGGGGAGGCTACTTGTTTGTTCCCAGCTACTCAGACCCAAAATAATCACTCAGAAATTATATTATTTAAAGCACGGCTTAGTCAATCATTTAAGCACATTGCTAGCTAGCTCTTAACCCATTTCCATTATTTTATATTTTACCACGAAGCTCATGGCCTACTGGCAAGGTTCTAACTGGCAGCTTGTGTCTTTCTCCTCTGGCGGCTCCATGGCATCTCGCTGACTCCACCTACTCTCTTTATACATCTCTTCCAGCCTGGCTAAGTTCTGTTAAGCCGAAAGCAGCTTCTTTATTAACCAATAAAAGCAACACATATACAGAAGAACTTCCACACCAACACATAAAGTGTATCTATGACCACATTTTTGTATCTGGTTATGAAAGTTTACTTGATTAAACTATAGAGAGTTTAAAGTTCTGTATTTGGGGTATAGAAATAGATCTCTTTAATTTTAGGTCAATTTCAGAGGACCATTTTGTAAGATGTTAGAAAGAACTTTATTTTTTTCTAAAAGGTAAGAGTGTTCCTGTTTGGATACCTTGACTGAAAATTTAGGCTGTCTATAATGTGATCCTGTGCGCTGCTTTGATGTAACAGAGCTTCTGAGAATGACATGGACACTTGTTGTCATGGGATGTGTCTCTGTCTGGCTTAATGCATGTTTCACAGCTCATTCATCCCTTCCTTGAACTTTAGGCTTCTGTGCTAAATAAACGATGCTGTTTAGGATGTGTGATGGAGAATGCAATCCTCCCACAGCCTTAAATCGATTTTCCCTTCACATTCTTCTTGAACTCATTGTGACGTCCCCATACTGCCTCCGTGAGAAACAAAAAAATGAGATTGAATTTTATCCCCTAGAATCTATATCATTATTTGCCTTCATGTGTCTTATATTAAGATTCATGGGGAATGAAGCATCCAGAATTGCATTCTATTAAAATTTGTTGAAACTTTGTTCCAGTTATCAATCTGTTGAGCTCAAACAATGTGCCTTTTCTTTGTTTCTTTTCCTTCTACGATATCTTCCTTTTGGCTGCTTCCACCAATTTTCAGAGAGTTTATGATTGTTCTTCATAGTGGGATACCACAAAGAAGAAGGCTTATGGGTTTAAAACAAATTTGGAATCTGTCATTGATTAGATCACGGTTCTTATCCATGCAGTACAATCAAGCCTGTTAATTCCCAGCTGTTGGCTGTGAATTCCCAGCTGTTGTGAAGACTAAATGTCATTCAGTAGATGTTAGTACACTGTGAGAAACATAGATCCTAATAAAGGCTCATGACTTCTATGCGTCTCCAAAATATAGGGAATTTCAGCCAGTTGCTAAGGTTGATTCCAAGTTGAACATGTTGCAATTCCTCTATTTTACCCCAGAGGGTTCATAGAGATCACTGAATGCCTTTAGGGGAAATTCATCTATGGGCTGGAGTTTATTCTAATCCAGATACATATTGCTCTGTACTACAGGGCCAAGAGATGAATAATGCAACTGAAAGTATGAACTTTGACTTTGAGAATGCACAGTCTTAAAGAAAACATAAATATGTCAATGAACAAATATAATAAAGGACAATGTATGTCAAGTGAGCAAGCCATTTTTCTACGGACGATTAGTACAAAATGTGGGAAGGAGGTTAAGAAAGGCTTTTTGTATGGGAACCCCTGAATACTCTTTTCATGAAGCTAGAACTGAAAGAAAAGACAAGGAAGGGGATTTGGAAAAGAGCATCTTGTGAAGACACAAGGTCATGCCCCAGCATAACAGATAGAAAACTGCAAATCTCATGCTGTTTTATTTTTTTTATTGATTTTTATTGAGCTCTACATTTTTCTCTGTTCCCCTCCCTGCCTCTCCCTTTCTCATGATGTTTTAAGAAACCATTTGGAACTTGTGAAAAGGGCATGGCTTCCTTGTAAGTGGTATGACTAGTGTTGTCCTTAGATCAAAAGATGATGATTACAAGAGAGGGCCCCATGATCCTAGACTGAATGGATGCTGGAAACCATAGAGCCTACTAAGCTCTACAATAGTGTCTACTGAATTACTGTCTGACCTTGGGTCAGTAGTTCTTGTCTGCATAGTTCAAACAAAGCTGTTAACTACAGGCTGCACTGGAGATTAAATAATTACAGAAGCATAAAAGTAAATAAAGGTTTGCTCCTTTTCCCAACTCCCTTCCCTAAAATAAAGGCATTTCAACCTTTTCTTTTCCACATACTCTCTCTCCCATTCTCTCTTTTCTCTCCTTATTCTATTTAGACAGAAAAGGGGAGGTGATGTGGGACTCCCCTCTGTATACTGTGAATATGTTATATTACCATTGCTTAATAAAGAAGCTACTTTGGGTATACGACAGGGCAGAATAGAACAAGGCAAAAATTCCAAGCAGAGATAGAGGAGAAAAAATAGGCAGAATCAAGAATATGCCATGTAGCAGCCACAGGAGAAAGATGCCTACCAGTAGTCCGCAGCCTTGTGGTGATACATAGATTAATACAAATGGGTTAATTTAAAATATAAGAGTCAGTTCATAAGAAGTCAGAGCTAATAGGCCAAGCAGTGTTGTATTTAATATAGTTTCTATGTGATTATTCAGGTCTGGGTGGCCGGGAAACGAATGAGCAGTCTCTGCCTACAAAAGTTTCCTCTATCCTACCCGCACATGCACATACACACTGTATTTTTTATATACATACTTTCTAATTATAAAGTTCAATTTGTAAATTGGGCACAGTTGAAGGTTAACAACAGTCAATGATAAAACAGAGCTATAGCAATATACCGTAATAAATGCAATGCAAATGCGGCGTCTTAATAACTTCCTGTGCCAGACTCCTATTTCGCTTATGGGGTAATCCAGGATGATGGCGCAATGCCTATGTGATGAGATGGGGCACGTTGGATGACACAGGTGTGGTGCACCCCTTTCCTTCTTTCCTTCCTGAGTCGGGAACTTTTACTTTTTCATGTAAAAGCGTCTTTCACAGTCTCAGCAAAGTATCAAACCTTGCATTACTACTATACTGTGGTGACAATACTAAGTAAAAATGAAACTTCCTTTGGTTGGATCTGAGCAAATTCTCTGGTGTGAATCAGGTATGGAGAACGCAAATAAGGGGAGGCTGTCATATGCACCGTGGATGCACAGAACAAAGGGATGACCTACGTGTTGTACAGGGCAGAGTTGGAGAGCATGAGACTATATCCCGGTTATCAGACCAGCATGATATTTAAAGATTATGAATATATATAAGTATATTAATAAATAATATAAACCTCTACTTTTATGGTATAGTTGAACACTGAAAGTTGTAACCATGAAGATAAAAATTCTGCTATGAGAAAACTAGTATTTTTTTTATAATTCTTTTCTATTTTTACAGGTAGAAGTAAAAAGGACCTTAAACGTGTCTAAATAAAAAGTTCATTGTCAGTGTGTTTTTTGTTTAAAGCAAGGGAGGCAAACCTCTCTAATGAGGTGATTGTTTAGTGAGGTAATCCTCTTTGCTGGTGTTTGGGGGGGGCTTGTTTGCTGTAGCAGGTACACTGTTGATCAAAACCACGTTTTAAGATTTTACAATAAGAACTGTAAAACAAAATTCATAGGCAATAAGAGATATAGGCATGAAACCCTATTAAGTTCCAATTCACCGAATCAAATTCTTCTATGGTTAATCTTTAGACAGTATCAAGTTGTGGGGAGGAAAAATAAGTGTTTCAGAATCTTAATTCCTAAAATAATACAGATTCCATGGCTTCTTAATTAAAATTTTATCCAATTGGTATCTGCCAAACCTCAGCTTAACATCTTACATGCTTTAGTAGTGGTCAAACACATAGCAATGTTTAAATTTCTTCATGCTTATGTAATTGAAAGTAACTGGAGTTATAGCACTGAGACAGTGAATCTGATTCTCACTAATGGTCTAACAGCTT